TGGTGCAGCATTTGGAGGGAAGCTGTGCACATCTGGTGCAACTCAAGTGAATCAGCGAGGGTGCGGGGAAACTGTTAATAGCTTAAAATCACTGATGGCATGCAGGTACTGAGTTAGGGAGCTAACTGCTAACTTTCACAATGCAAAGGTTAGGGGCTGCTTAGTAAAACTCGAACAGCAGCTTTAGAACAAATACATGTGTAATTTTGGAACGGTGCAACACTTGCAACTGCTTATCACAGGATATTTGCCTAGAGTTCAAAGGAATTGCATATTTTAAAAAAGACAAATTTCTGGAAAGAAACCCATCAAGGATGATCGTATGGTTTAATCTGGATACCTCGTGTTCCAAGATCCTGTTCATTATCTTGCTGGAAGGTGAGAAGTAACCTAGGGAAGTATCGCTATTCAGTGTTCATACTTTCCCTAGCTGGACTGTCTCTCCAACCAGCCTGCTAGTCATTCTTTCATCTGAGATTGGGTCACAGAAATACTTTGTCACTGTTTTCAGTGCAAATTGTGCTTTTAAGCAGCATCATGAGCTGCTGCTCTCTTGATAGCCGTTTGTCACTAATCTTGATTTATCACAGCTGATTTTTGCATGTGGCACAATGTCATGCCATAGCATGACTAGTGATGTATTTTCAGACACTTCTAAAAGCAAAATTCCATGTGTCTCTAATCTGGCTTTTGGCAAATCTCCTGGCTGCACTAAATGAAATATTGCTTGTTGTGCAGTGTGCTACCTGAATATTCATGTTTACTAATGACTTGCGCTTTTTTGCCCCTTTCCCCATCCCGTTTCCCTCTCCTACTTCTTTTCCTCTCTTATATTTTCTCCTCCTAGAAGCCTAGACTGTCTCCTAACACTGGGGCTGCCACTGATACAAGACCAGTGTACTTTTCTACCTGCCATTACACTTCTAAAATCTTCAGCATTTTACAGAGCTCTTGCTTTACATCCTTGGACTTTACGTGTAGAAGAAACCAAAGGGTAGCTGTGCTGTCGGCCGATCAGCCCTCCTCCTCCTCCCTTCTCTGCTCTGCAGTGCTTGTTGAAACCTTCCTTTCTTTGTGTAAGCACAAACGTGCATTGGTGGTTTTTAGCTGCACTATTTCAGCACTCCCACTGTTTTTAAATCACAACTACAACTCCATTTTTAGTTCAACCACTTTTAAATTTAATTTATATCCTTTTTCATGGACGCTTAATAACAGAAGGTTTGATACCAAATTCAAAGTTGTGCTTTCATAGCGGATGGGTCCACCATGACTGCAGCTCCTTTCCCTTCTCCCTGTACTCACCACAGCCTTTTAGAATAATGCTGAGTTGTACCTGCCTTTATCCTTGCTGCTTTGAAACCTTCTCATATGAGGTTTTTATCTTTAATAATGTTGTCTCCTTCAAAACAGGTGTTTTCACATCATAGCACTTACTGTACAGACTTGAGAAATGGATTAGGAAAAATCATGTTTACTGAGGTACAAGCAGATTGTCTCTGGTTTGTGAGGCGTAGATTATGGGGTTCAAGCATTTGTCATCAACTGGGAGTATAGAGGAAAAGCGCCAACCCCCAAATTCCTGCCTCAGTGCGCTGCTTTGCTGTCGTATTGCTTCCTGCAAGCCTTGGAAGTAAGAAGGAAAATTGCCTTTCTTTAACTTCATACCTCTAGCTTTGCTTTACTAATGACAGCCTTGGACGAAATTTTACCTGCCATGAAAAATAACCTGTCCCTTCTAAAACGGAGAGAAACAAAAGATCTAGAACCAAATTGTTAACTCCATACTGAAATAATTATGACAGTTTCCAGCAACACCAAAAGGACTGGGCTTGTTTTAACCTTAAACAGAGCTGCAAGAGGTCAGCAAGTCCATTGCAATTCCTTCTGTCTCCATAAAGGTGCAAAGCTTTCCAAACACAAAAGTATTAGTTACTACCATTCAGCAGATGAAACAAA